AGATCGTCATGAACTACAACACCGTGCCGTGGTTTCCTCTTGCAGAGCTGCCGAAAACTATCCCGAAGCCCAAGGCACGGAAATCAAAGGGCAAAGCCAAGAAGGCTGAAGCCGAAGAGAGCATGTCCGAGGAAGACGATTTTGCTGGTGCTGGGAAAAAGCAGGCACCCGCTGAGTCCAGCGACCCACCTCCGGTCCAGGAAGCTCCTTGTCAGGAACCAGCACCCAAACATAAACTTTTGGTTGGTTTATTCCTTAAAGGGGATTTTTCCATATCCCAACCTGATGGTTTTTGTTTGGCTGCTTTTTTGGGTCCCTACCTGATACTCCAGGACGCTCCAGGTCATCTCCAGCAGGAAGACCCAGCTGCGCTCCAGGACGCTCGAGATCATCTTCAGCCTGAGAAGCCACAGATGGACGACACCGCCTCCCAGCCACCTAGCCCTCCGGATGCAAGTCCTTTCCAGGCCCTCAAGGAGATGTTGGGGAGGCCCAAGAAGAAGACCAGATCTGAGTCGATGAAGGCTGCCCCGGCGAAGCCCAAGCGCAAGGCCAAGGCAAGCAACAAGCGCAAGCGTGAAGAAGTGGAGATCAGCGACAGTGAGACTGAGAACGCCGAGGCAGCGGAGAAACCCGAGTCACCCACATCAGTGGTCAGTTCGGACGACGGATCCAAAGAGGCTGATCACGAGGACAAGTGAGAGGCCACTCCTCCTTCGGAAGTAATGGCAAATTTTGAACTAAGACTGGACAGACAAAAATGCTACAATTTTGCGCAGGCTGACGAAGGAGACAAGAGGTAAGTGCTTCCCTCATGATGTGGACTAAAAGGCCTGTCCTCTAGTCCCTGCACCAGTGACTGCTGCGCCTTGTGAGGAAAAGTGTGTGCCAACAGCTGCCCTGAGAGACTTCGCCTTGATACTGACCGAGCCAAGTGCGCATGTCTGGTTTCAAATTGAAACAACTTGCCCAGGTCATCTTCCTTGGTCGTGGAGCCATCCATCGTGGACATTTGGGAGCAGGCAGGCAATCGTGCTCACAGGGACGATTTCGGCTGACAGTGCATGCAGGTCGTCATCCATCAAAAGGTGCTGCCAGAACACGCCAAGCAAGTTAACAGCGCAAATAGACAAGAGCATGGGCCCATGCCGCCGATTGCTGCAGCTTAGGCTTCAAATTTGACATGTGCCATTGTATCCGGAAGGGTTTCTCACATGAACCGGACTAGGTCAGCTTATCAGTTTATGTGCTTTCAATTCCATGCTGAGGTTCCTGTCCATCATGTTTCAGGGTCAAGACTCAGAGCAATGATTTCTGCCAGCACATTTGGCCTGCAGCCACAATGGCATTCCAACCCACGGTTCTTGACACAAAAGTGTTCCTGGCCGACGGGTCCGTGGAGCATGTGGCATGGAAAGCCTGGCCCTCTCCGGATGCTTCACATGAAACAAACAAATAAATGCGGTTCCTTGTGTTCGTTTTGATCCAGTGACGCCAGCAGATTGCGGTAGCACACAAGTCTATTTAGTTGACGAAAACATGCACTTCTTGTGTAAGGATGGCCAATGTCTGAGATGGGAAACACGCCGTGTTTTGCCAACCGTTGGGTTCGTGGAGCGCAGCGATAAAACGAAAGTATGCAGGGTCGTCCAACAGCAGTGGGACAAGTGGATTGCATTGTTGAAGCGATATGGTTTCAAGAAATGCATTGGCCGATCTGAGAACAGCATGCTCAGTCGAAATCGCGCGAACCCCAATGTAGTGAAGGACCCGCGCTGATCCAGAATGGTTGTACTTTTCTTATAGGGGGGGAGGGGGCACGCACATACAATCAAGTATCCCTGGACAGGACACTCGAGACAGTGATGGTGTAGAGAGCGACGATGTTGAGCAGGAATTCTGGTGTGGGACCAATGCGCTGTTTGCATTGCTGCAAATGTGGGAAACAGATCGACGTGACAAGGGTATGCGTCAACGCACCCGGTCAATCAACTTGGCCGTGCTGCAGACCTGCATTCCTCCAGGACCTTGGCTTCAGAAACTGGAGGCCTCTCTGGTGCCCACGCCCAGAATACAACATGAATGCCAAATCCTTCCAAACAGCACAGGGACATGCATATGTCATTGGCCTGCCATTCATCAATGTTCTGTAAGTTCAGCCGTCGAAGGCCAGGGTTTTTTTTGAAGTCTGGTTCAGGGGTTTGTAGCTTGTCTGTATGACGACAGCGTCCACTAGGACACAGACGACGACAGCGTCGGTAAGGACACAGACGACGACAGCGTCCGTTAGGACGCAGACGACGACAGCGTCCGTTAGGACGCAAACGACGAGAGCGTCCGTTAGGACCCAGACGACGAGAGCGTCCGTTAGGATGCAGACGACGAGAGCGTCCGTTAGGATGCAGACGACGAGAGCGTCCGTTAGGACACAGACGACGACAGCATCGGTAAGGACACAGACGACGACAGCGTCCGTTAGGACGCAAACGACGAGAGCGTCCGTTAGGACCCAGACGACGAGAGCGTCCGTTAGGATGCAGACGACGAGAGCGTCCGTTAGGATGCAGACGACGAGAGCGTCCGTTTGGACACAGACGACGACAGCATCGGTAAGGACACAGACGACGACAGCGTCCGTTAGGACGCAAACGACGAGAGCGTCCGTTAGGACCCAGACGACGAGAGCGTCCGTTAGGATGCAGACGACGAGAGCGTCCGTTAGGACACAGACGACGACAGCATCGGTAAGGACACAGACGACGACAGCATCCGTTAGGATGCAGACGACGACAGCGTCCGTTAGGACGCAAACGACGCTGAACCGTAAACTCTCAACCCCGAACCACAATCCCTAAACCCGGAAACTTAAGCTCTAAAATCTGAACTTTCAGGCCTGAACCCTAAACCGTCAACCCTAACAACCTGAGAAATGGGAGTTTCGGAAAGGATCCCTCTACAGGGAGCACCCTACTTTTGCGAAAATCTTAGAGTGTTCCATAGCTGCCATACCTTTGGTCCCTCCTGCCTACTCATGGGTCTGCCGAGGCTGCCAGACAGCTCGCCAAAGAGCGGCTGACGTGCTCAAGGACGTCAACATGCCCATGCACGAAATGGCTTGGCAGCTCCTCCATGTGTTGAGTGAGGTGTCCTGTCCTGCAGTTGGCCTCCTCACTGGGCGGCTCATCAACCAGATTGCAGAGCTGGTGGAAGAAAATTTCGACAGTAGCTTGGCTTTGCACGGTGACGTAACCAAGTCAGACCACATGCCGATTGTCACCCCGGCCATTCTCCACATGTGTGGTTTGTTTTGTGTAAGTGTGCCTCCATTCAAGGCTGGAAATGCAAGGACTTCCTGAAGAACCCCGCTTTATCACTTACAACAGAGTCCTCTAACAAGCGGAAGCGTGTGGACCCACACATGAAGAAGGCAGCCATCGAGACCGCGCTTCAGGACGACTGTGTCTTTACTGTTCACTTCTGAAGACATGTCTTCATCCCAACACCCTAATATGTAACACCCCACGTCCTACAAACAAATCTAACAGAAGAAACAAACCATTCCTACTGTTCGTGGCCATCAACATCACTGCATTTATTTGTGGCGTGGCACCCGTTCCCAAATGTTAGGTCACACCAGCCCCCCGATCACTAGGTCGACGCAGACCTTAGGTTTAGGTCAGATCGGACTTGACCCCAACCGTTAGGTCACACCCGGGCCCGACTGTGGTTTCTGCGGGATTTCTGGGAATCTATATATGTTTACATTAGGGCTGGCATTTAATATCACACAGTGGGGTTGATTTCCAGGAGTGCGCTGAAGTGAAGTGTTTCTCACTCAGACAGAAGTCACCATTATGCGACGAAGTTTCCGAAAGGATGGCAGAGCCAAGCGGACCTCGCAATTGCTGCAGACATTGCAGCTCGGAGATTTGTCACAAGGAGCTCGCTGGATGGAAGAGCAATTGGCGCAACTTTCGGTAGGGTGCAGCCAAAACTAGTTGCACGTCTCCCTCCAGAGAACATGGCCTTAAAGTAGATCCAGGTTTAACATGCAGACATGTTCACCTGCAGGCGGCCTCTCGTTTTGCCTTCCAGAAGCCCGGCGTCCTTTCACTGTGTTTCGACGCAGCGGCCATCGGCAAACCAAGCAAAGATGTCCTGCTTTTGTGCCAATGGTCCCTGACGGCTTCTTGCGGCTTGGTCCTCCCTCCGCAAGAGTTAAAGGTCAAGCGGGCAGACATTGAGAAGGCCGAGAAGATGCAACCACCAATCCTCTTCGTGGACAATCCGTTAGAGGAGTACCTGGCCCATCCCGGTCAAGCGCCTGAGGAGCGTAAAGTGAACCTCGAGTACCTCATAGCAGTGGATTCGGCGTTGTCACGGAGCAACAACTTTGGTCTCTCAGCCTTTCTTCCCACGCGCACGGTGGGTGGGCTTCCGCTGGGGGCAAAGCGCTACTTCGTGTTGCAAGAGTGCAAGTTCAGTGGCCATCCACGACACCGAGAGCCTCAGCTGATTTAAATTATGCGGTTGATGGACAAAATCCTGCATGACCTTTAGGACTTTAGGACCCTTTAGGCCCTAAACTATGGAAGCGATGGCATATTCCTTGTAATGGGTAATGCAGGAAAACAGTGAGCGGCATGGTTGTCATCTGATAAGTCTCACACAAAACAAACCGGAAGTAGTGACAGCAACAAGTACATGATGATGTTCATGATCATCATCATCATCGTCTGGTGACTAGCCTGTCGAAGCTGGCCACATTTTGCTTGGAGTTAGATGCATGCATGAAGAATTTAACAGACTAACCAAGGCCTGCGTTGAGTTGCAAGACAAGACCAGGTTCTATGAGGTGCCTTTGAGGATGGAGGGAAAGGAGGTCATCCGGCCTACTCTTCATCTTTGTCAGGACTGTCGACCCCTTAAAAACAACTATAGGATCAATTGTTTCTTGTGGATGTAGAAAAATGCAGTGCAGTATGTGGCACACGAAGGACATGGGTGCATCCGGGTGGTACGCAGGCATCTTTCTCATGAACGGAATGAAGATCCGGGGAACCGTGTCCTTTGACATTTTCCACCGCCTTCATTGTGACGTTCAAGATGCTGCTGCAGAGGCTGGTCTGGAGCTTGCCCGTCTGGAAGCGGCGGCAGTGTGTGCGGTGCGACGTGGCCCGTACCCTGTCCTTCATTGAACCATGTACTGGTTTCAGTTTATCGTAAACAGGATTTGAACATTCATTAACTGGCGTAGGACACCCTCTATTAACCGTCGTGTTCCAAGAGGCCATGTGGAAATCGAAGATGCAAAGATGCCACACACACACAAGCTCGGCCCAGGTACGCCACTGATGGCCATCACCAGACGCTGCTCCAGGCCTCTCGCGATCTCGCTGCAGTGCCCGTGCCCAACTCGTTCCTCAACATCTTCTATGGTTGCACAGCTGCACATGACGACACAGGGTTGTACTTAACTATGTGGAGCCATGTGGCATGGTTTGGGTTGAGGCTCTAGTTCATGGCCTCTGCTGTTGTTCTGGATTGTAGATCAGGTCTACACTGTGTCAGTTAGCTTAGGCGATCTCTGCTGTGACTTCCGACTGGTGCCACAGGGCACTGAGGAACACAGGATGTGGGTCTGGAAACAGATGTTGAGCAATCTCTTGCACCTTGTGTTTTAGACTTTCCCTTGAGATTTCGCATGGCAACTGAGGCACGCTTCCCTTGGCGATGCTCCAAAGCGTGGCCGGTGGTGGGCACTGGAAGGCCTCTCCCGTCACCAGCGCCCAATGCGAACGGCCAACCTCATACTTTTGTTGTATCTGGGCTTCCAGAGGGGCTACTGGAAAACATGGGACGAGACACCACTGCTCAAGGCCAATCCAGAGGAATCCGGGGCCGCTCCCACAGACCCACCGGCAGCCTCTGCTGCTGCTGGTCCTGAGGCTGCACCCGAGGCAGCGGAAGATGTCGAGCCAGACACGAAAAAGCGCAAGATGAGCACAAGCTCGGCTCGGGCCGAGCTCCGGAAGCGCAAAGCAGATGCAGGCAGCCAATTCCGGCCCCTCAGCTGCTGACCCAGCGAACTGAGACTTTGGGTCGGGCATCAGGGAAAGCCTGTAATTTCCATTTCCTGCCCTTGATTCAATGCTGCCCTTGGGGTGTCCTGTTGTTTTGAATAGGATCCTATATTGATCTCTCAACCGGGCCCTCCACCGGGGTTTCTTAGTTCAGGTAGAGGGGGTTACTAATGGAGTTGTGGGGCTGGGGTTGCTTAAGTGAGAGGGGGTTTATGAATCTGAAGTCAAATTTGTGGGGCTGGGGCTACTCCACAGGGCGTCTATCAATCTGAAGTCAACATTAACATGGAATTTGGCCGCTCAGGCATGTGGCGTGGGTCCTGGCCTCTCGCGAAACTATGAATTTCATGGACGGGATGGAGCTGGTGACTCGCAAGCTGGAGCACATGTTTCTTGGGGCGATGGCCAAGGTCAAAACGAAGCTCGTCACAACATAATCCGTGACCCGAATAGAAAACAACCCCCAGAACCAAAAAAAAAAGTGTATCCTTATCACTAAGCTGGGTGTCAGGGTTCAGGGTTTCACAGGCATGGTCCACAGAGGGTTGCTTGTTGAGCCCAGCCCCCTCCGTTTGAAGGCGAAGGGGCACTGCACATTTCATGGAAGAGCTTGTGCTGGGTGGCCTGATTCCGGCCATCACCGCATGCTTCTCTGCCTTGGTGTCCAATGACTTTGTGCGGGAATTGGGCCTGGAAGACGGCTTTGTCAATGGGGAGACATTAACAACGTTATATGTCTTTGCTGTCTCTCTTGCTGGCTTCTTGTCTGTGACACAGGCTAATTACTGGATGCCACCACGCAGCTTCCTCAAGTTGATATCGAAGGACGCTCCTGCCAGAGCCCAGGGTCTCTCTGAGCACAAGGACATGTTCACGGCCGTGGAACGCCTGGAAAGCACACCTGCTGACTCGCCCGACTATGGCAAAGTCCGTCGACTTTTGACAGACATGGAGTGGCCGAACCAGGTTTGGGTCAGGGAGAATTTCAGCTTCCTGGCTGAAACTGGTTTTCGGGAGGTGCCACCCTTGCTCGAGGTCGACCTGACAAAGTATTCACAGGCCCATCACTGCACATTGATGCTCGAGAATCTTTTCAATGATGCTCGCAGGGCAGCCAAATCGAGCGACAGGGGTCGGCTGGAACAACGTGGTGTTTGGCATGCAACAGTTACGCAGCCGACAGTAGAGCTTGTGTGTTTACATACCGTTCCAGTGTAGAAGCCAAAAGCGACCGGACCCTGTATTGGATGAATAAGGCTTTGGCGACCAACACCATCAAAGACTTTGACCGGCCTCTCCCTGGGCCTGTTCCTTCATCAACTCACACCACGAAGAAGCTGCCGGCCAAATTTTTTGAGCCATCCAAGGCAGGATCAGTCCAAACGTACTTGTTGCACGTAATGTTGATTTGTGACAGCCTCTGTATCGTATGTAATCATGTAACTAAGACAATCCATCCCTGTGAGGAGTTGCTGACATTGGAGCAGGCCCAGATTGAGTCCCTCACATCATCCCGTCCAACATGGCCCAACCACAATGCCAAGTACCACAAAGAGACAGCCTTGGCCACTCTGAACATGACATCCTGTGGCGGGAATTTCGCTGACATGAGCAAGGCATGGCTATCACTGTTGTTGGTGCCAGGCAGCTTCTGAGATGTTTGTTTGAGCAAACTTGTTTTTTTCGGGCAGCTGGAGTGCCTCTGATCAGGTTTTCTTGTTTCATGCCCAGCGGTTCCCATGTTTCAGTGAGGTTTGGTCTCTGACCACAAGAAGCGTGGCCTGGTCCTCTACACCAGCTGCCATGGATATCTGGCGCTCACCTGTGTATTCGAGGGCGAGAAGAAGAAGCGCAAGTTGAATCTGCAAGACTTTGGGGACAGCCCTGCCACAAAGCAGCATTTATGTATCTGGCACTTGCGTTTCCTTCTCACCAAATTCTGGAATTTGGCCCGGGGGATGGCTTTGAAACCTAAGCCCTATATCCTAAACCCAAAACCCTGTAATTAATGCTATCGACCCCAACCTGGTTTGTGGTGGGTCTGGACTTAAAACACGCGGGGGAGGGAGCGGCAGTTGGTTTAGTATATGTTAGATGCGCTGATTTTGCATGATTTGAAGAACAGGTCTGGTTTGATAAGATCCTGGATTACACTCAGTGGCGGTGCTCGGACGTCCAGATTGTCCCTCCGAGTCAATCTGGCCAGACAGTTCAGTTCAAGGATGGTTCTCAGAAAGGCCATTTGCTGAAGTTTCATGGCTTCTGATTTCAGAACTTTTTAACAGTACCACCTTAATCTGCACTCCTAATATTAAATTACCTTTCCCCGCTCTCAACATCAAACGTACATTCCAGGAAATCCACCCCAAAACACCCTAAGGAAGGTCCAAAACTAAACTACGACCACGAGAAACAGTAGGGATAAGAGTACCCTTTAATACGAGAAATAGGCTTCTATTGTCTATTAGAAACCCCCCCACCTAAGTTGAAGGTTTAGTAGAGGCTGCTGTGAAGGTTTCTGGTTTAGGGGGCTTTGGGCTTCGGGTTTGGAGTTAGGGGCCTAACATGTAGGGTTTAACTGTTGTTTTCAGGTGTGGGTTGGTTCATCGCGTAGGGTTTTGGCTTGACATGTTGGTGTGACTTTGTTACTGTGAGGTTCTCAATTCAGCATGGGTGCCCGCAGATGACCGTGTACTACCTGCGCAAACTGGTCTCTCATCTCTCGCTGCGGGTCCCTCAACCAGCGACTGAGATCAATCTAATGCGAACTCTGGCCCGTCATGCGTTGGGGGACGCATTCACCGAAGACAAGTTCCGTGAGATCTTTTCAAGGAGGTTGAAGCTTCATGAGGCCCAGAGTGGGTTTCCGCATTTATTTGTAGTTTTCTATTGATGTTTCAAAAGTGTCAGCTATGCCATGAGAATGGCATTGTTCCGGCTCGGGGGCCAAGTAGGGCTTGCAGATGCAGCCACAGGACCTGGCCAAGCCCTCCACTACTCTCAACCGTGTCGAGGAGGCTTTGGCGGACGAGGAATATTTTGACTGGGAGGACTTGGAGCTGCAGGAGGTCGTTTATGCGAAAAAGAGGCGTCGCGAGGCTGCCCTTGCAAAGCTCGCTGCGGCCTCTCAGTCTCCACAAAGGTTGCTCGGTCAAGTTGAGGCATTGAACCCTGACCTGACCCCTAATGGGGGTCGGCCCATGTAACCTTTCAACCAGGTCCTCCACCGGGGTTTCCTAATTGAAGGGGCTTCGAAGTTTGTAAATAGTGAATTGATTTCCAGCGCTGGAGCTTCTGAACTGCAGGGGGTTTACAAATCTGAAGATAACATCCGTTGACCAAAGCTCCTGTACCCAGGCCACCACAACCTGAGGACGCTCCCACGCAGCGCCGCAAAGCGGTGGTTTTTGCTCAGGAGGGCATGAGCCAGCCAGAGGCAAAGAGACTCCTGCCTCCGGAGTGCACCATCTCGAAAGAGCGGGAATGGCATCATCGCTGGAAGCTCAAATGGGCCGCATCACCGGCTTTAAATTTAAATGTACAGTTCTCTTCTGCTGCAGAGTGCAACGAGGCCCTCAAGCATGTCTTGGTGTATGCCTGGTCAATCCACAAACAAAGGACCGGCGAAGACTGCCCATGGCAGTTTGACAGTGAGATTTTGCCACCATAGAGTGTGGACTCTCTTTGCCAGGCACCTTTAGGCCAATCAGCACGTTGCACAGGTCTCTCATCAGAGAATCCACACAGCCGAGGGAGGCACTGCCGGGGCGTTCCACACAAAAAGCTCAGAGCCGCATCACTGGTTTTTGCTCCAGACATTGTGCACATTTGCCTTGCCTGCCACGTTGTGAGCATTCCTGCCCGCGAGGCCCGGCAGCCGTGGACAAGAACAGCATCAGTCAGTCATGCGCTGGATCAAAAAAGGGGGCCCTGTTTATGAGCTGCGGGGTACTTTGGTAAAGGTCTAAAGCATCGCTCTTCAGCCCTAAACCCTAAACAATATACCCTGAACTCCCAACCCTACAAGTCTTGGTATGCCTAGGACAAAGGTACCCTTTTGCAAGGGTCCCCTCTGGCACTCCCCGAGAAAGAGCCTGCTGTCAAGGCCAAGCCGCAGGACCCGCGCGAGCTGGCCCAGCCTGTGGAGCCTGCGGAGGAGCCGCAGGAGCCTGCGGAAGAGCCGCAGGCAGAGGCTTCCTCTGCGAGCAGAGGGTTCCCGGAGCTTGACGTCGGCACCTATCCGAAGGAGGAGGTAGAGGTCGAGGTCAAAGCGGAGGGCCCAGCAGGGGAGGCGCCAGGGGAGAGGTCAGCCATCCGTGCCACGCCCATCGGCACAGGAGGACTCGTACACGTACGAGGAGCAAGAGGAGACCGAGGAAGAGCCTCTGGAGAAGGACCCACCGCAGGAGGTGCCACCGCGGGTAGAGGAAGTCCCAAAGGAAAAGGCCCGAGGAAAGAAAGAGAAGGAGGAGAAAGCCCCGAAAGAGAGGAAGGAGAAAGAGAAAGAGAAAGAGAAAAAGGCCCCTAAGAAGAAGGAGCGAGAGGAAAAAGCCCCAAAGGACAAAGAGGAAAGAAAGAAGGAGAAGAGTAGAAAGGACAAGGACCGGGACAGAGACCGGCGGAGAAGGAAAGAGGAGGAGAAAGACCGGGACAGAGACCGGCGAAGAAGGAAAGAGGAGGATAAAAAGGAAGGAAAGGCCCCAAAGGAGAAGGAAAAGGAAAGCGAGGCCCCAGAGGAGAAGCAAAAGGCCCCCCAGGAGCCGGGCGAGGTAGCCCCGGAGAGGGCTGAGCCGCCGAAGAAGGCGGATCCCGGTCGTGGGCAGACCGAGGAACCGCGGGAGAAGGCTCAGCAGGAGCGTGCTCGCGGAAGCACCGAGGCCGAGGAGCCTGTGAGGCCACCTCCGGGTGGAGCAGTCAGCCCGCCTTAAGTTCTTCGTGGACCTTCCGTACGGGCGCTGCAGCTTCCCACCGCCACCAGGGTGGTGTGATACCGCTGAGGGGCGTGTGCGCCGAGAGGTGGTTGGACAGCGGAAGCTCCCACTTGCCTTCGGGCAGGCAGGCCAGGGGCGAGCCAAAGCCGAGCCAGTGAGCTCGGAAACCGCCCCAGGAAGGGGCAGGAACCGCCCAGAAGGGCAGGAAAAGGGGCAAAGCAGGGGCAAAAGTCTTCGAAAACAACCTTCCACAACCAACTTCCACCTTCAACCTCCACCTTCACCCCACTTTCTACCTACCACCCCTTTCGTGAACGAGGTCTTTTCGAGAACGAGGTCTCTTCGACTACGAGCACAGCTCTTCAAGGACTGCTTCCGGGAGGAAGCCCAACGACTACAAGGACCCTCGGTGAAGCCAATTCGCCGAGATGGGGGACGAGTCCCGGCAGGATTCGTTCAACTCTTATATCCCCATATGGGACGGCAATGCGGGGTCGATGCGCAAGTTCAAGAAATCCGTGACGTTGTGGCTGGCAGGCCTGGACTTAGAGCGCACGGCGTCGTACAACTTAGCCGCCCGCTTTCTTCTTCGGCAGACCGGCGCCGCAAGGGCGCGAGGTGAGGAAGAAGATATAGATACGTTGGCCCACCGACCGGCGGTGGCTGACGTTGTGGGGACGGAGATCCAGGCTGCCGACTACACGCACGGCGTGTGGCACCTGGTTAGGTGTTTCGAGGAGCTGTGTGGGAAGACAGCTTCCGAAAAGCGAGGAGAGCTCCGGCAGAAGCTCTATGTGAGCTTGCGCCGCGGCCCCAGTGAGCCGGTCACGAACTTTGCGTCGACCTGGAGAACACTGGTGGCCGAATGCATTGCCGAAGGCATCCCGGTGACCCCTGTCGAGTCTGGATGGCTCTTCAAGGAGAGGCTTGCCCTTACGGAAATGCAGCGGCAGCTGCTGGAGACCGCCACCGGCGAGGAACCGGAGTTCGCCGTGGTGGAAAGAGAGGTGCTGCGACTCTTCCGAAGGGTGCACCTCACGCGGAGTGAGGCGGCCGGTGGAAGCCACCTTCGCTCCTGGCGCCAGGCCCCCTCGAGGCCTGGGACGGTGCCATCTTCAGCTGCCTCGACGGCTTCTGGTGGCACTTCGCGTTTCAGGCGCTCGTTCAACCGCTCCCGGACTCCCGGTCAGGGCCCTTCCCAGGCCTTTGTGACCGAGGAACACTACGAGGACGAGACGGAGGAGTATGAGGACGAGCCTGAAGGAGAGACTGAAGCGTACGAGACAGCAGCTGAGGAAGAGGACGGCGGGGAAGCAGCCGCCGACGAGCTCGAGACCGAGCTAGAGGCGATGGCCGCAGCACTGGATGAAGGAGACGACCTGCCGCCTGAGGTGGCGGAAGAAGCGGCCGCGCATCTGGAGAATGCGGGGGAAGCTTTGGTGACCCTGCGGGAAGCAAGGCGGCAGATCGCCGCCATCCGCAAGGACCGTGGGTACAAAGCCCCCGGAGCCGCCGGCAGCGCCGGCGGAGGTGGACGTGGGTCAAGCAGGCCACTGGTCGAGAGAATGCCCGCACCCGCCGAAGGCCAAAGGGGGTGGCGGCAGAGGCCGTGGCAGGCCACAGCAGCCAAGCGGCAGCCAGAGCCCTGGCAAGCCGAGCCCAAGCAAGGGTGGCCGCTCTCCCAAGCACGTCCACTACACGGAGACTGAAGCCAACGTGGTGGACTTCATGGACCATGGGACCAGCGTAGAAGTGGATGAGTTTGAGGTGATGATGACGCTGGCGGAGGCACTTGAGGTGTCGAGCCTCCCGAAGAGGGGCTCCCCAGCCACGTTGCTGGGCGCCATGGACTCGGCCTGTAACCGGACCTGTGCCGGACCGGAGTGGATTAAGCAAGCCTTGGCAGCTATCCCTCCGGAGTATCTCAGCTTGGTCGTGGAAAACCACGAGGCTGAGAGGTTCAGGTTCGGAAACAACCAGACACTAGTGAGCAGCAGGAGGGTGCGCATCCCTTGGTGTCTGGAAGGACATGTGATGCTGCTCTGGGTTTCGGACGTGCCAAACCCGAAGCTTGGTTGTCTGGTGGGCCGGGACTGCATGGAGGCACTTGGCGCCGTGTTGGACTTCGAGGACCACACGGCCCGGTTCAAGACCTTGGGTCTGGGACCCCTGAGGCTGCCCCAACTGAGGGCTGGACACCTGGGCCTCCCTCTTTTCCCGAAGGCAGGTTGGCCAGCGGTCGGAGGCCTTCGCTCCTTTAAGCCGCTAGGCAGAAACGGTGTGGTCGAGCTACAGCTCGGCTTCGGAGCGTGGATGCGTCTGCGCACAAAGGCGGCTTGGCAGCTGATGCTTGCGGTGTCTGAGTCGTTTGTGTCAGAGCAGGCGGTGGTTGACTCGAGGGCTGCACTCACGTCGACGAGCGTCTCAGTGAGCAAGCCTACCTCCAAACCCGCAGCCGTTTTGCTCGAGAGCCCCAAGACGACGCAGACCCCTAGTTTGAGCCATGCTCCGCGACCTGGGTCGCAGGTCCGTCGGAAAATGGCGAAGAATGGTGGTGCGTTTGCGCGAGCGTTTGGCCTGGCACTGGCAGGGCTTACTGCTGTGGCTGGTGCGCATGCCTCAGCTGCGCTTCGCCCCCTTCCCGTGGAAGTCGGTAACCGGCCCGAAGGAATGGCAAGAACAGTCCGAGGGCATGGTGCGACGAGGAGCGTGGCCACGGCGCTGGTACACCCGCGCGGTGGAGAACCGCGTGTTCTCAGGAGTGAACCTCGGCCACTCGGTGAGCCTGAGGAACAAGTGCGGTTTGGCGTTCGCCTTCCTCGAGGACGAGATCGTGCTAGAAGGGCTGAGGGCTCTAAAGGCACCGAAAGGAGTGCGCTCGAGGTTGCAGCGAATGCAGCTGGAGGAAGCCAAGAAGGCACAAAGCGAAGTGAAGGAGGTGCGCGAGGAGCGCATGCGGGCGCTGTTGGGGCCAAGGGGAGGCCTACCGCGCCTGCGAGCCGAGTTGCTCGAGCTGGCGGTGCTGTTGCGGGTGGACATCGAGGAGAAGGACACCGTGGAAACGATCCGCAAAAAGGTGACGCCGGTGGCCCGCGCAATCGCGCTGCCGCCTCCACCGTCACAGGCCAGCTCAAGCTCGGAAGTACCGCGGCCAAAAGCTCCCTCCAGGACCGCAGGACCGATGGGGACGGGTTCGGAATTCGTGCCACCAACCCGCCTGGCCGCTCCACCCATGGAGGAGGAGGTGGTGCCATCGGACGACAGCTTCAGGATGATTACGTCGGAGGAGCTGGCCGAGCAGATGGCCGGCTTGGACGCCTACATGGCGCCCTGAAGCCTGGACTGAAGCAGGTCGTGGCTCAAGCCACGGCCAAGGCGCTGCGGCAGGCCAGTGCGTCGGCCTCGCCGGCAGCAGTGCATGAAGCACTCCAAGTGCTCGCGAATGCAGAGGAGGCAGCTGCATTCCACGACTGCTTTGTGCAAGCAGCTGATTCGGAAGTTGCTGCTCATTTTGAGCGGCGTGGGCACGGAACCCGTGCTTACAGTCCGGATGCCTACGGCCACGTCGGCGTATTCCGTGCCAAACGCGGCGCGGTGGACCGTCAAGCGCTCGAGAACTGGATGGTTGGTGCTGCCAGTCTGCGAGCGGAGGACCGGCCGGTTGTACTTTGTCTGGTTGGCCCGGCGCCCACCTGGCGCAAAGCGGTGCAACCATGGCTCGGGCCAGACCTGGGTCTGGAAGCCGTTGGTACCGCAGGTCTTGTCCTTATAGCAACCTGCCGGCCGTCCTGGATGGTGCCCGCGACGGGCGCTATGCGACCTTCTGGCACCTTCGACGTGCCCTTCCGCGACTTTTCGAGCGACGTTTCGACTCCTTTCACTCTACCCTGGCCGTCGACCAACAAAACAATTTAGATGGGGGTGACAGTCGTGCGTTCGAAAACTCGCCGGACACTGCAGGGGAACCACCTGCTGGAGGCCTGCCGTTTCCCTTTCGTGCGGTCGAAAACTCACCGGACACAGCAGGGGAACCGCTGGAAGGTCAGGAAGAGCAGGAGGAAATGGACGCCCTGGTCAGGGACGCGCCTAAACCGACGAAGGAGATCGTACAGGCCATAGCAAAGCTTCACCGGAACACGGGCCATGTCTCTAAGCGAAGACTGGCCAGAGCTTTGGCTGTTTCCGGGGCCCCGCCCGTGGTTATCAGAGCCGCTCTGGAGCTTCGTTGCGAGATTTGTGCCGAGGAGGCACGGCCGAAGACGCGGATGCCCGCGAGCCTTCCAAGGGCTTCGCACTTTGGAGACCGGGTGCATGGTGACTTGTTCAGCTTCAAGGACGGAGCCGGACAAACTCGGTGGGTGGCCCACTGGGTGGATGTGGCAACGCGCTACCAGGCGTGTACCCTTCTCCGAAGCAAAACTGCTCAGGAGGTCGGTGCCACTCTTGCCGAGTGGACGCGGATCTTTGGAGCGCCCAAGACACTGGTGGTGGATATGGGGCCGGAGTTCGTGGCTGAGTCCTTCCAGGACCTCTGTGACTTCTACGACACGGTTCTACACCATATACCGGTCGAGGCGCCTTGGAGAAACGGCGTGGCCGAGCGAGCAGGAGCTTCTACCAAGGCGGTGCTTCAGAGGCTGGTGAAGGAGTACCTGCCGGTGACTGAAGGTGATGTGTCTCAGGTGGTGACCGCCGCGGCGGGCGCATACAATGACGACATCAACGACTCGGGCTACTCGCCTTCCCAGGCAGTGGGTCTGGCCCAGACGGCGCTGACAAACGAGCCTTCGTTCTGCCGGGCCTTGGCGATCCGGGAAACCGCGAGAGTGGCTATGCTTCGGCTGCACTACTCGCAGGCGATGAGCAAGGCCTTGCTGGCCCGCTCAAGAGCCCCACACCCTGAGCACTACAATGCGGGGGACGTGGTGTACTTTTACCGGCGACAGAAGTCGAAGCCTGGAAAGAAGCTGCAGCTGAAGGCTTGGCATGGGCCAGCCTTGGTCGTGGCCATGGAAGGGCCCGACGAGAACCAGCTGAGCGCCTATGGGGCGTATCGGGGCAACGTGACCAAGGTTGCCATTGAGCACCTGCGGAAGGCCTCAGCCCTGGAAAGGCTGGCGGCCACTGACTGGGCCCCTGCCCTGCAGACCGTGCTCAATGAGGTGACAGACGCCCCGGAGCCGGTGCCTACGGAAACTACCGCGGAGGCACCTGCGGAGGAAGTTCCCGCTGTGGTGAGCCAGGACCGTCACCAGTGGTAGTAGTGGTCCCCGGCCCCGGTGGAGGAAGCCAACCCTCCTTGAGCCTGCCCCCAGGTTCGAGAAGGCCCTCGTTGTCGTCGCTGGCGCCGTGGGAAAAGGAGTCGCACAGTGTCTACCGAAAGCGCTCCCACGAGTCTGTGACGGCGGGCGAGAGTTCGGAGCGACCCGCTTCGAAAGCCAAACCCCTCGGGGAGCCTGTGGTGGGCGAACCGATGGATGGTACATCCGAGGCCTTGGGCCTACGTGACGCTGCTGTGGAAAGCGCGGCGCCTAGTGCGCCGGAACTGGTTCCCATACCAGAGGAAACCGTGGGAGAGAGCCCGGGAGCCCAGAGCTCTCATGAGGGCGAGTCGACCGCGGCTCCTGTGAGCCCCTTTGTCCCGCTCCAGATGCCCGATGGACGTTCGGTGGACGTCTTGGTGACTGTGAGGAGGATAAGGATCACCCTTTGGTGAGGCTCATGGAACAGGTGGCGGAGGACCGCCAAACTGGGTATGAGGAAATCCGCTGTGGCACGTGGGACGGACGCTGGCCCACGCCCAGCGAGGTTCAGAGGAAGCGGCTACAAGCCACCGGGGATCTCATGACCCTTCCGGTGGAGAATGAGGCCTGCCTCGCTTCTGCGGGGAAGGAGATCACCTGGAGCCGCCTGGACGTCAAGACCAAGGACGCTTTTCAAAAGGCAGCTGACGAGCAGTGGCAGAAGTGGACCGAGAACGGCTCAGTGCAGGAACTGAGTGTGGAGGAAAGCCGCCGGGTGCAGGCGGACCTCAAGCGGAGTGGGAAGTCCGGCGACTTGCTCACACCTCGGGTGGGTTCTGACAGACAAGAACGCGGCGCTGTCAACCCCGGGGAATCCGCTTCCAGCCAAACCCTCAGCGAGACTGGTGGTGCCGGGGTTTAAAGACACGGCGCACCTTGAGGGACGGCTGAGAACAGATGCACCCACCGCCTCCAGGATTGCGATCCTGCTCTTGTGCGCGGTGGCGGCACACTTCCCGTCCTAGGGAGCTGGTGTCGGCGGACGTCAGAGCTGCCTTTCTCAAAGGCGATGCTTACATGGCGGGATCCCGCACCTTGTACATGCAGCAACCAGACCGGCGGAAGGGTCCTTCTCTGCCAGGCGTGCGGTTCGGTGTGATCTTCCGCGTCCTGAAGGGAGTCTTTGGACTCGCAGATGCGCCACGGCAGTGGTATCTGCGCCTGTGTCGCACTCTTCAGGAGCATGGCTGGGTTAAGAGTGTACTTGACGGTGCTCTCTTTTATCTTCGTGCCCCCTCTGGCGAGCTCTTGGCTCTGATGGTGGTGCACGTGGATGACCTACTCTTTGCCGGGTGCAAGGCAGCCCTGGAGATCCTCCGAAAGATCGGGAAGGAACTGGGATTCGGTGCGCTCTCGCACTCGGATTTTCGGTACTGTGGACGCCGAATCCGGCGCCTCCCGAATGGCCACGTGGAGATCAGCATGGTTGAGTACCACGAGAACCTCCACGTGCCAGTTGTCTCACGCGCCGACCGCAAGGACTTGGAGCGAGCGCTCAGTCCCAGCGAAGTCCGACGGCTGAGGACCGTCGTAGGCAGCCTGCAGTGGTTAGTCAGCCAACTGCGATTCGACCACGGCTTCGCCTTGAGTTCTTTACAGAGCGAGCAGCCGCCCACCGTGGGAACCTTACTGAAGGCGGCGCAGCTTGCCCGGGAGCTCAAGAACGACGCCCACTTTACCCTTACGTACCGCCCGGTCGACGTGTGGAAAGGTGGACTAGTGACTGTATCGGATGCAGCGCTAGGCAACGTGAATGCCGACGGGACAGTCAAGGGGAGCCTCAAGCTGTTCTCCCAGGGCTGTTACGCCGTGCTACTTGCCGACGAGGAGTTGGTGAAAGGCCGCCGTGGGGTGTTCAACCTCATCGACTTTCGGTCGCACAAGATCGCCCGGGTCTGCCGTTCGTCTTACGCGGCGGAAACCTTGGGAGTCGAAGAAGCGCTCGACTCAGGGGAACTGTGTCGCGCGTTCCTGGCGGAAGTCCGAGGAGCGTCCCTCCTGCGGGACCGTCGGTCCGTCTACAGCGTGCCGTTGGTGGCAGTTACCGATGCCAAAGACGTGCATGATCGCTGTGGCAACGACCTTGGCTTTGGCGCCCAAAAGAGCTTGGTACTGACGTTAGCTTCGCTTCGTCAACAGCTCAGGGAGCCAAACACGGCCATGAGATGGACCCACACCGACAACCTGTTTGTCGATGGAGGTACGAAAGAGATGGATTCCGGAGCTCTGCGTACTGTGCTGTCCCGTGGGACGTGGAGTATAGAGCACGAACCGGAGTTCGTCAAGTCCAAGAAGGGCAAAAAGAAGCCGGCTCTAACGACGGAGAGCGTGGACCAGGCTTTGCCTGGAGAACCTCTGCCAGACGGCGACCTGAAGAACTACGTCACCAGGCTGGCCCGGCAACCCGGCTGGCACTCGGAAGACGGTGTCTTGGTACAGGTGGCTGAAGGAGCTAAAAGCTTCAGATGCCCAGAGCCCCGAGCCTCAAGGCTCGCGAAGCCTCTCCGGACTACGATCGGACTCTTCGAGGTCGGCAAGGGACAGATGCAGTGGCGAATCCTCGAGCTTGATGCTTTGTACAGTGAGGAACCACAGCCTAATGGCAAGCTACCCCGGCCTTCTGTGACTTTGGTCACCTTCTTTCAGGGCACCTTTGGGCAACCAAAAACTTTAGACCTGTGTGAAGACTGAGTTTTGCCTTCGTTGGCGTTTGCCCAAAGAGTGTGCGCTGCCCTTTGGCTCACCCTGTGGCCAAAGGGCCCTTGAGCTTACTTGGTAGCGGCCGGAGAAAGGTAGGGTCGGCTGCCTTGGGGTAAGGGTTCCCCTTTAGCACTACCCTAGCTTTTGCAGTTGTAGATTCTGACGAGTTCCCTGCGGTGCGACATTGTTCAGCTGGGCGGGTGGCAAGAACGACTCAAACCCCTAAACCCCTCGAACTCATATGCCTCGCCTGGATTGTCCGAGTGTGAGCGCCGAAACTAAGAAACCTACACTCTAAACTTCGTATAATCTGCGGACGGAGGCTTCGACTACACATGAAAGAAACTCAGAACCCTAAACCCCTAAACCCTAAACTCAGAAACCTAAACCCTGAAACCCTAAACCCTAAACTCTAAACCCTAAGCTCTAAACTCAGAAACCTAAACTCTAAACTCAGAAACCTAAACCCTAAACTCAGAAACCTAAACCCTAAACTCAGAAACCTAAACCCTAAACTCAGAAACCTAAACCCCCAAACAACTTCAACTCCCTGCAATGCGGGCTTCGTCCTTGCTAGGTAGGAGGGAAAAAAAACAACTTCAAAGAACTCCGAAGGGCGCAGTTCGCAGCCGAGAGGCCGAGGCGCTCACTCGGCCAGGCAGACTTGGGGCTGAAGGGGCCTTAAGAATTAGACTAGGGTTCCCTTTATGAGCTTCGTATCATATACCCGTCTATAAGGATGTAGGATCCAGAGGTTAGGGTTTAGGGGGAGCTGAAGGGGCCTTAAGAATTAGACTAGGGTTCCTTTTAAAGGGGTCTATAAGGGATCTATAAGGGATCGATAGTATGAGCTTCGTATCATATACCCCTTAAGACTTAGAGTAGGGTTCCTTTTAAGAGGGGTCTATAAGGATTATTATAAGGGGCCTTAAGAATTAGAGTAGGGTTCCTTTTAAAGGGACTCTTAAACGGGGTCTATAAGGATGTAGGGTTCAGAGGTTTAGGGTTTAGAGTAGGGTTCCTTTTAAAGGGGTCTATAAGGATTACTAGAAGGGGCCTTAAGAATTAGAGTAGGGTTCCCTTTAAAGGGACCCTGAAACGGGGTCTTCAAGTTGCTTATTATGAGCTTCGTATCATATACCCCTTAAGGATTAGAGTAGGGTTTTCAGGGATCTACAAGGATTACTAGAAGGGGTATTATGGGGAGGTAGTATAGGGGTATCATAGACCCCAAAACCCCATTCTAATAATTTAGAATGTGCCTAAGGCACCAGTCACCTAAACCATGGTCTATACTTTGTATGGTTTGTAACCTGCTATTTAGGTAACTGGAGCCCTAGTGTAACATCAAAAGCAGATGAATGCAGCATGTGGATCTTCAAAAAGGTGAAGGGGTTTCATCAGACGTTGAGAGGGGCCTTTATGTGATTTGCAGTTTCTTTGTGCGAGTTGTTGTAGTGCCTGCCATTGTTTTTGACTTGCTCTTCAAAGGAATTGTGACATGTTCCTCCTGGGTTAGATCAATGCCCGGATTCGAAGATATGATTCTTACGTGTAGCTGGGCTTTGGGTTCCTTTGAAGGAAGATCAGGAAGCAAAATGGCTTGGGAATTCGGGCATATAGCAAAGTGTCTTCCCGCTTCGTCGAGTAGGTATAAAACTGCCATGGAGTTAGGCAGCGTTCATAGCGAGCAATGCAATGAAAATCCAAAGTACGCATGTCCCAGTGTGTGGGAACATGCCGCTTATAGCTTTCCGATGCCACGAACAGGCATCATTTGGGTTGTGGCCGTAAACAGGACTGGGCCCAATGATGATCATGGGCGAAGGACATGAGAGAAACTCAAAACGGCTAGCTGATCAGCGCGAACTACTAGTACTTGACTATTGCTACTGCTATTATCACTACTACTAGTACCACTCTTAGATGTCCCTGCAAGAACGATCCTTTGATTTCATGTCAGCCTGAGACCGCAAATCCAGAGCTCCCACAACCGTATGTCGACCATGGGCTAACGTTATTCTGGGCTCTTGTCAAGGGTTGCTCTTTAAGTTACCAAAATAAGGAAGCCACCTTATTTACTATGGATCCATTTTGTGGGTACTTAGATTAGATCCCTTAACAAGAGCCCAGTCTCGAGTGGTAAAGTGAGCTCCATGTGGTAGTCTTCCTAGTGCCACACGGGTACTCGTCGGGTTTGTGTGTGCATACTATCTTTGTATCTATCTGACAATATTTTATGATTTTTGAGTAGTATAGCATAACTAATGCAACAAAACATTGTAGCAAAGCACTATACACCCACGTACGCACGTCTACACATACAATCGAAGTCGTCAAAGTGTGAATGATCGTGGCTTGCAGTGTAGCCAGGCACCCTATGCCCTATACAGCTGGGTGCAAGAATTACCCGGCAGCCCTCATGTGAACGGAAGGGCACAGCCACATGTGGCGGATCTTCTTGCTACCTGAACCCACAACCCCCTATAAACCCTAAACACCTTACACCCTAAACCCCGCTATAAAACTATACCCTACACCCCCTATAATCCTAATTACTAGCCCGTAAACCCCCTATAAACCCAAAGCTTAAACCCCTCAACTCTGCAACTTGAAAGCTTTCAAACAACCTCAGAGCTCATGCCTTGGAGATCCTGTAAACCCTAGCTGCACCGAAGCTTTCTCGACCCTAAAGTCCCCGAGAAATCTTTGGAAACCCTACATCCTCTTCACCCGTTCCCCTAATGTGAATAGCTATATGGTTATCTCATAGTGCACCGTTATATGCACACTAGAAACATCACCCTGAGGCTCCAGTTACCTAAATAATGGGCCACCAGGCTATATTTTATGTGGTTAGTAACCTATACTCTTTAGGTAACTGGAGCCCTAGGGTAACATAATGATATTGGGCTCCACCCTGCAAGGCGACTCGCTGGATCTCGTCCGCGGTGCCGATGCCGTCGGCGCCGAGGCGGTTCGGTGCTCGAGGGGCTGTCAGGGTTCCTTTTTTCTGTCACTTCAGTATAAGACATTATAAAATGATAGATAAATACGTGTATATGTATATACACAAAAATATTTGTGTATATATATATATGCAAGTATATATATATGTATGTATGTATATAGGACAAAGATACATATAGGAGTTTAGGGTTT